TGAGGTGACTCCTCCTGTATGAAGACATCCTCCTCCTTCTCCTAAAAAGACCATGTGACCCCTCAACCAATAAGAAACAGCTTCTGGTCGTCCCCAGAGATCAGTTTGGCTCCTGTTTCTGATTGTTTCCTCCTTTCTCTTCTCTCCCCATCTCTCTCCACTCACACACATTTTCTGTTTTTATGCTAAGCTAGGCTAAACTGGTTTATCTGAGAAGCACCCCTGAGGTCTGTTATTGACATGTGCTGCTCTGATTGAGGTAATATATATTATATGATAAATTATTAAATGGGTACTGAAGTGTCTGAGTGTAGGTCTGTGTTTTGTAGCTGCATCACTGAATGCTAAATGTTAGCAGACGGCCCACACAGAAACAAAGACTGTGTGTCACAAAACTGAACAATTCTCTGTAATTTTGAAGCTCCTTGATGAACACGCACACACACACACACACACACACACACACACACACACACACACACACACACACACCCTGTTGTTGTTACACAGTTGAAAACAGTGTGGAGCCCCCGAGGCGTTCAGGAGGGATTTTACAGGAACACACACATGGTGTTTTATGGTTTATAATGAAGAATTCTTCAGACGTTGTTTGAGCCAGCTGCTCCACATGTTTCTGTCAGATCTCAGGAAGATGAAGATGATGATGATGATGAAGATGATGATGATGATGATGATGATGATGATGATGATGATGATAATAAAAGTTACTGAGGTTCAGCGAAAGCTTTTTGTTCTTGGTATTGCAGTATCTAAGCTCAGTGATAAAAATACCCTGCTGAGAAAACACACACACACACACACAGGGACATATATGGCTGTGGAATTAGTGGGTCCTTTAAAAACACCCCCCTCACTTCCTGTTGTATTCTGGGATCAGTCGGAGCGTGAGAACGTTTTCAGGGCAGAACGAGTTGACCACAAACCCGAGATAAAAACAGAACACAGTCTGACTCTAATTAATGTACATTGTGTGTTTTTATCTCCATTTCACAGACACACAATTGTGTGTGTGTCGTGTGTGTGTGTGTGTGTGTGCGCGCGTGGGTGCGCGTGCGTGCGCGTGTGCATGTCTTGAGTTCTAAATGTGAACAGTTGGTTTAATGGTCAGCTCGGTCAGTGTGAGAGTGCAGCTCCATCAGTGTGAGAGTGAGAGTGCAGCTCCATCAGTGTGAGAGTGAGAGTGCAGCTCCATCAGTGTGAGAGTGAAGCCCCTTCAGAGTGAGAGTGAAGCTCCGTCAGAGTGAGAGTGCAGCTCTTGGAGAGTTAGACTCAGACACGGAGAACAGGAGGAACCAGTTATAGAGATATTAGAGACTGTAATCTATTCTTAGAGAATCAGAACCTCAGGGTTTGAACGAGTGAATCAGCAACAAAAGATCTAGATACATTACCAAATCGAATCAGCAGTCTGCATTATCACTATGGAGACCCTGTCTGACCCCCCTCCCCACTAACAGTCAGACCTCTGACCCCAGGATAAGAGACCCTGTCATAAGAAGGGCTCTTGGTTTGTTGAATGAGGTGGTTGTAGATTCTCAGTGTTGAGCTCATTGAAACATTTCATGTGAAAGCAAAGAGAAAAAACAGCTTCAAACATCCTGTTTAATACAGGCCTGTGAGAGGACGCTATCACCCAATCAGATGTTTCTGTCTGCTTGTCCACCCTGTCTCCTCATTGTGCTTTCATCTGTTTGACCTTTAACCTACCCCACAGCGTCCAGACATCTATGACAGCCAGGGGATGAACCCTTCTTCAATCTAATTTAAATGTGTCTCATACTTTGGATTCTGACTCCAAACCCACAGAGCAAAGTGTAAGCTCGAGACAACATTATTTCACAGCCGAGTAAAATGGAACCTCTGGGTTGGATCTCGAACTGAACTGTAGGATTCATTCTGGAGGACTCATTTAGCTGATTAGACACAAACCTCTGAACACTTCCAGTTTTTGTTGTAACGTTAAAATTAATTTTCTTCAACAAGCAGATAATCTGTTCAATAAAAACATCACTTTTGACCAAACATTCTCCTTCATCCACACTCCGTTTACTTCTTTATCTTCCAGCTGTGACGTTACAGCTGTTTAAATTTTTCACTTTCACCTTTGTGTGTTGGTGAGTCCGATTATCAGGACCTGGACCTGGTGCAGACCTCTGAACCAACACGCAGACACCCTTTAGAGACTTCAGACCCCAGGAGTCTGTTTTATCTCAGACCCCTGATCAGTGACTGGTGGCTCTGATCAGTGACTGATGGCTGATCATAGACTGGTGGCTCTGATCAGTGACTGGTGGCTGATCAGTGACTGGTGGCTCTCGTGATGACACATTCATGACATCACGACATGTTCACGACACATTCATGACATCACAACATGTTCACGACACATTCATGACATCACAACATGTTCACGACATCACAACACATTCACAACATCACGACACATTCATGACATCACGACACGTTCACGACATCACGGCACATTCATGACACGTTCATGACATCACGACACATTCATGACACGTTCATGACATCATGACACATTCATGACACATTCACGACATGTTCACGACACATTCATGACATCACAACATGTTCACAACATCACGACACATTCACGACATCACAACACATTCACAACATCACGACACATTCATGACATCACGACATGTTCCTGACATCTCAACATGTTCACGACACATTCACGACATCACGACACATTCACAACATCACGACACATTCATGACATCACGACACATTCATGACATCACGACATGTTCCTGACATCTCAACATGTTCACGACACATTCACGACATCACGACACATTCATGACGACACATCATGACCTCACGACACATTCACGACATCACGACACATTCATGACATCACAACACATTCACGACATCACGACACATTTATGACATCACGACACATTCATGACATCACGATATGTTCACGACACATCATGACACATTCACAAAATAAATATGATTGGATGAAATTAATAGTTGCATTTATGAAAGATAAACAGAATGTTTTATATAAATGTACAACTGCACAAAGCATTTTTAAGTGAATGAAATATGTTGAATAAAAAATCATCTGGATAAAAATATCTCTAATGTTTTTCTTTTATTCAAGGCATATTATTGAAATGGTAGCTTACATGATCTGCGTCCCTTTTTGGTCATTGGTTTTTTTCTTTTCCTTTTTATTAACAATGTTTTATTTTACAATTTCTTGTAGGAATCAACATCAAATGACAGCGAGGCATCTTTACTAAACTTTATACAAGAATGTATAAATGTTCACCTTCACACACAAAATACAAATAAAGAAATAAAATAAATACAAAGGCAACAACAAGTTATAAGTCAAATCAATAAATAAACAAAATGCAGATTGTCTCCACAGGGTCATCGTTAGTTTTTGTGAATGGTCGGATGCGCGACTCGCTTTAAATGTTGCGGCCGCAAGGAATTGTGGGACAGCATTATCTCATCTCCTTTGGTAAAGGATGGTCCAGTGTATGCTAAAGGAGGTTATAAAGGAAGCTTTGACCCACCTTTCCTTTGCTTTTAGAGAATTCAAGTGGCTCTTATCATGGCCACCACTTAAATGCTTATGGGCCATTTCACTCAGTGAGGAACCTTCCTTAGAAAAAACAGACGATTCCAATGCCCCCGTTATGTTTATATTAAAGGGGACATATGATGAGAAATCCACTTCTATGGTGTTGTTGAACATATATTTGGGTAACCTGAGTGTCTAACGACCCATAAAATGTGAAATAAATCCATCCAGTCCTTTGTTTGCGGTCTGCATAAGTCTTACAACACAGAGAAAAGTGCTCCATTTCAAATGTGCTCTCCTTGTGATGTCACAGTGGGATTCTGGTATCTCCACCCATGGACTCCACCCCCAGCCTAGAACAAAAGTTTAACGCAGGTCAGCCATTTTTATTCCCTCTAGTGAAGGAGTGACGTCTACGGGGAAAACTCAGGGGGGGCTCATTATATTTAAAGAGACACACACACCAAAACGGAGCGTTCTGAGAGAGCTGGTTTATACAGGGTCACAAACCTCCTCTGGTGCTTGATTCATGTTATATTTTGACCAAAGCACAACACAGATGTTTCATTTAGACCACAGGGGACTGTTTGAAAAGGTGGAAGAGGGGGATAATATATCCTCTTTAAAGCTGCATGCAGTTCAACATCTTACTGAAGAGACCAGAGGCAGCTGTGGCTGCTGCAGCTCAGCATGAATTAGCTGGTGTAATCCAGACTTTATCTTCTAGGTGTGCTAACTAGTAATTACTCTTCATTAACAATCAAGCTAATAACAGCGAACAAAACCAACAGCCCCTCCATGAACAGCCTGACCGGCTGGTGTTGACTGTGAGTTACAAAAAAAGAGCGTCACACGAGGTCAGAAGGAACGAGTCGTTCTCTGTGGGAGGTTTTCATGTTCCCTTCCTGCTCATCTTATGTTCACTTCCTGCTCATCTGATGTTCACTTCCTGCTTGTCTCATGTTCAACAAAAAAAATGTAAAGAACGACGAGTGAGACAAATCACACAGGAACACAGAGAGAGGAGACGGAAGATAACTCATCTGTTCCAGAGATTAGACTGTACCATAACAGTTCATGTGTGTGCTTGTGCATGTGTGTGTGCTTGTGTGTGTGCGTGTGCTTGTGCTGGTGTGTGTGTGTCTAAACTATGTTCACTTATGAAAACCATATGACGAGCTCTGAAAAAGAAAGAAACGCTCAGTTCTCTGCACCCCCCCCCCCCCACACACACACACACACATCCCCCTCCTCCAAAAAAATACAGTCTTTTCCTCGGCCCATTCCTTCTTCTCCTCTCCATCCCCCTCTGCCCAACCTCAGTCTCTTTCCCTCTTTCTCTCCCCTCCCTGTCCCCCCTCCCTCTCGCTCTCCTCCCCCTCACTGCTCTGTGAGCTTGTTGCTGACCTGCAGCTCTCATTCGTTTTTCTCTCCGTGTGGAGCTCAGGCAGATGGAGAATCGTCAACAGAAACAAAGAGTTTAGATGAAGAGAGAAAAGTTTGGATAGAAAACAGAAGTCGGCCAACAGAGACCAACTTTGAGAGAGCGGGGAGATAAAAGACAAAGGGGGAGTCAAAGTTTAGATTTATTCAGTCCTCAGACAGGATGGCTTTGGTTCTGCTCCTCGCCTCCCTGCTGGCTCTGCTCTGTGGAGCGTCCTCTGTGTTGGCTCAGGACCTCATTGAGACCGATGCCCTGTGCACTGAGGACGGCTGTTTGGTGGTCTACTTCCAAAGAAAGACCTTCCTGGACTCATGGAGAGCTTGCAAAAAGAAAGGAGGGACGCTGGCAACCATCAAACACCGGAGGGATGCAGCCATCATCGCCTCGCTTTTCTCCACCCTGGACCTTCGTCACTCTCGCAGTAAGGTTCAGGTCTGGATCGGCCTGCAGCGTCAGCCTCGACAGTGCACTGCCAGCCGCCCACTCAGGGGCTTCTCCTGGACTACAGGAGACCAGGACACAGAGTACACAAACTGGCTGAAAGAGGACTCACCCAATGCCTGCTCTGTGCCCCGCTGTGTGGTGATGGGCTACAACAGTCAGGATAACAATGAGAACTTCAAGTGGCTAGATGGAGCTTGCTCAGTGTCTGTGGACGGGTATCTCTGTCACTACGCCTTTGAAGGAATGTGTGCAGCGTTGTGGAGTGAGGGGGCAGGTAACGCTCTCTACAGCACACCTTTTAACCTTCTCAGCACCCTGCTCACCCATATCCCCTTTGGATCTGTGGCCACCGTGCCCTGCCCTGAAGGCAGCGAGGATGAGCAGTCTGTTCTGTGTACACAGAAAGACGACGGCTCAGTGGGGTGGTCTAGAGACCCCCCTCTGTGCTCCAACTCTCCTGTAACTCAGAAAAGGTGCGAGCAGGATAACGGTGGATGTGAACATTACTGTAATCCGACTGGAGGTCACTTTTACTGCGAGTGTGCCAATGGATATCAGCTGAGAGACGACAGACAGACCTGCGAGCTGACTGTCATCTGTCAGGGTGCCCCCTGTAAGCCAGAGTGCCTCCCCCTGACTGATGGGTACGGCTGTGCCTGTCCTGAGGGGTTCATGCTGACTCCAGATGAACAAAGCTGTGTGGATGTGGACGAGTGTCTGCAGAGTCCGTGTGAGCAGCTCTGTGTGAACGCTCAGGGGTCGTTTGTGTGTCGATGTTGGGATGGGTACGCCCTGGAGGACACAGGGATCTGTGAGGACGTAGACGAGTGTTTGAATGAACCATGTGAACACGCCTGTGAGAACACAGTTGGCTCTCATGTCTGTCACTGCCATCTGGGTTACTCCCCATTGCTGGAAGACCGCAGTAGGTGTCAGGACGATGATGAGTGCCTGATCCCTGGGACCTGTGAGCAGATGTGTGTGAACAATGTGGGGGGATTTGAGTGTTATTGCGTGGAAGGATACGAGCTCAGGGCAGATCACTCCTCCTGTCGTAAGAGAGGGGAGGAGGATGAACAGTCTGCTGTCACACCTCCTTTCCCTTGGGGAACCCACCAGCCAGTGTGGGAACCTGAGTACGACTGGAACCCCCAGCAAAGCCACACGGACTGGCCTCCAGAGGAGGAGCCGTCTCTGGACTGGCTTACTGACCCGCCCAGGGTTCAGGACTCTGATGTGATTTGGGTCACTAGCTCCCCTTTTGATTTAGCACCTGACCCTCCAGCAGAGGAGGAGAAGGACACTGGAGCAACGTACCTGTTGGAAATTGGGCAGAGATCTGAGCAGGAGGTGTTACCAACAACTAACCACCCCACTCCTCCACCCACCACGGAATCCATCTCCACCCACGACTGGTACGAGGAGGATGAAGAGGATGAAGAGAGAACGACCACAGCCCCCCCCCTCCTCTCCACCTCTACCATCTCAGGGGGGGCCTGGAATTGGTGGGCAGTAATAATCACATCCAGCCAGGAACCAGGAAATCTAGATGATCCAGTCAGAGACCTCGACATGCAAACAGATTCAAGCAACCACGGTGTAGAGGACCATTACGCCCTCAGGGAAAACACAGAGCTCCCAGAGGAGGAACTGGGGAAGGAAGCAGAGGAGATCACACGCTCCCAAGACCCTGCTGTTCCCACCCAGCTCACCCCCTCCCAACCTCCCGCGAGTGAGAGCGGGGGGAGCAGGACCATGGTGGATGCGGAGGAGGCGGGGCTGGGGCAGAAGCAGAGCAGCACCTGGCTCCTGGTGGGCCTCCTGGTGCCTCTGTGCCTCTTCATCGGGGTGATGGTGGTGCTGGGCATTGTGTACTGCACCCGCTGTGACGTCCAACCACAAAACAAGAATGCCACAGACTGCTACCACTGGATCTCTGGGGCTCATGACAAACAGGGAGCTGCTTCCCCCTCAGCTGGGGTCAAGACCCAGGTTTAGACCCAGAGAGGGTCTGAGGGTTAAATAAACACTCTGATTCAGAGCAGGCGTGATTTATGATCTGGTAGGTGGACAAACTACATGTTTCTGTGGGTCTGGAGCGGCCCAATGTCTGAACACTTCTGACTTCTAAAGATCAAGTAGGACGTTTGGGAGGGACCCTGTTGGAACCAGGTTTCTAAGTGGCCAAAACGCTGATGTTACAAACTCTGAGCACACATCTGAGCTGAGTCTTTATTAGTTAGGTCAAAGATTAGCTGAAACCAGTTTAGTGTGCAATAAACTAGTCTCCATGACTTTTGTTCGCAGCAGAACTCGGGTGCTATCCCGACCATCACTGTATATATCTGTTACTGTGTAGAAGACTTGTTAGCCCCCATTAGCCGGGTGTTAAAGTCACCACATTATTTAAATCTCACTGTGTCACAGTCTAAGGTTTAAGTTTTCTATGTTAGGGGGGTGGGGTCAGAACTGTCAGTCGTAAAAAAACACTAAGAGACCAAAAAAGTTCAGATTCAAAAATGAAAAAGTTAAATTTCAAGTGAAGTTAGAGTTATTGAAAGTCGTCGAATGAAAGCAGAATATTTAAATCTGAGATACCTGCTGGTTACCATGGCAACGACAACAGTCCTAGTCACCTGATGTCGGGTCATTTATTATTTTGTTCAACGTTAACTCCTGCACACCGTCTACATCAGAAATGTTGTTGACCTCTGTTAAAGGCTCGCGGTGTGGAGGTCATGGAGGTGTGGTTAATATCTCTGGCTGTGGGGGAGGGGCCTTGATGTGAGAACTGGTCATGGGCCCAGATAAATCCTGGAGATGGTTTCTGTTTTTATCGTTTGTTTCATTCATGTCACAGCTGTAATATTTCAGGCATGTTTCTTCATGGAGATCATATGGGAACACTTTCCTGCCTTTTAGGAGCTCTTCTTCTCCTTTATGATCTGAGTTCAAAGGTCATGTCTCAGAGCTGCTGCTGCATGTTAGCCGTGACCTTGTTCATGATATGCCCATCAGTCATCCCTCATAACCCTGATTTAACCGCAGAAGGGTCACGAGCTGATGAGGTCCAGCTGTGAGAGACTCTGAGATTTACACTTTATACTTTTTATACACAGGAAGCAGGGATACGCTGAATCTTTCAAAATGCACTAACAGGTAAAAGTCCTCCTCGTGAATACTGTTCGTGTTTGTTGTAATGACGGGCTGTGAATTCTTTTGTTTCCTGTAAGAAATGTGGAATTAAAAACTCTGATGAAGAAACACACATGACCTTTTTAAAAAAAAAGCTGATTTATTGAATAAGCCTTTACAGATGTGTCTAATCCTTCTTACCCACAGTGTGTGATGTTCTGTCAGATGTTCTCAGATTTGGAACCTTTCCTAGTTTGACTTTCTTTAAGCCGTCTGATGTTCCAGAAAGAAGTGACATGATGGAGGAACATCTTCTACCCAAGGACGTCAAAGGGATCCCGATGTTGAACACAGATGATCCTCTTTGATTGATGAAAACATTTCTTCACTAAATGACCTTTCACCTTGTCTGTCTGTGTGTGTATGTGTGTGTGTGTGTGTGTCTGTGTGTATGTGTGTCTGTGTGTGTGTTAGTGTGTCTGTGTGTGTGTCTGTGTGTGTCTGTGTGTGTGTGTGTGTGTATGTGTGTGTTTGTGTCTCTGTGTGTCTCTGTGTGTGTATCTGTGTGTGGTGTGTGTGTGTGTGTCTCTGTGTGTGTATGTGTATGTGTCTGTGTGTGTGTGTGTGTGTGTGTGTGTGTGTGTGTCTGTGTGTGTATGTGTGTGTGTCTCTGTGTGTCTGTGTGTGTTTGTGTCTGTGTGTGTGTACGTGTGTCTCTGTTTGTGTCTCTGTGTGTCTGTGTGTGTGTGTGTGTGTGTCTGTGTTTGTGTGTATCTGTGTGTGCGTGTGTCTGTGTGTCTCTGTGTGTGTGTGTGTGTGTGTGTGTGTGTGTGTGTGGTGTGTGTGTGTGTGTGTGTGTGTGTTTCTGTGTGTGTGTGTCTGTGTGTGTGTGTGTGTGTGTGTGTGTGTCTCTGTGTGTGTTTGTGTCTGTGTGTGTGTGTGTGTGTGTCTGTGTGTGCGTGTGTCTCTGTGTGTGTGTTTGTGTGTCTGCGTGTGTGTGTGTTTTTGTGTGTGTGTGTGTGTGTGTCTCTGTGTGTGTGTCTGTCTGTGTGTGTGTGTGTGTGTCTGTCTTTGTGTATGTTTGTGTGTGTGTGTGTATGTATGTCTGTGTGTGTGTGTGTGTGTGTGTATCTGTGTCTGTGTGTGTGTTTCTGTGTGTGTCTGTGTGTGTATTTGTCTCTGTCTGTGTGTGTCTGTGTATCTGTGTGTGTGTGCGTGTGTGTGCGTGTCTATGTGTGTGTGTTTGTGTGTGTGTGTCTGTGTGTCTCTGTGTGTTTGTGTGTCTGTGTATGTGTGTGTGTGTCTCTATGTGTCTGTGTGTGTGCGTGTCTATGTGTGTTGTCTGTGTGTGTCTGTGTGTGTGTGTGTGTGTGTGTGTGTGTGTGTGTGTGTGTCTGCGCGTGTGTGTGTGTGTCTGTGAGTGCGTGTGTGTGTGTGTGTGTGTGTGTGTCTGTGCGTCTGTGCGTTTCTGTGTCTGTGTGTGACATTAAGGTCGCTCCCTGTGCTTCGTTTATTGTGTAACCACGTAGAGTTGTGTGTTCCTGACACCAATAATGTGGATCTGATCAGAACCAGGTTCAGTCTCTCAGAGGGGGTCTCTCTGTGCATGACCTATTTTCTTCTCTCTCTGTCTCTCCCCCCTCTCCTCCTCACTCAGTGTGTCAGGTCTCCAGGATTCGTCTCCACGTGTTGTTCTTGAAAGCGAGGGATAGCTGTGTATCCCTGTGTGTTTCTGCTTCATTCATTTTTCTGCTCGCTGGTGTTGGGGTTGTATCAAGTCAACTTTGGTTATATTCTTTAATAATTATATTTAATTATCAATAATATAACTAAAATATACTTAAATTAAGTTTAATCTCGTTTTGGGGCACCAACCTGTACTCAGGTAAATATAACCAAAATATCACTCCAATCAGTCTCAAATTAGTTATTTAATTACTAATATTATTAATAATTATTAACTATATTTAATAAATTGAAGGCGTGAAATCCGTACACAAAGCCGTCGCACCCAGCTTATATCACAATGCAAATACCCCAGTAATCACAAACGACTGCTATCTTAAATTTATAACAGAATTTATTTAAACAAAGCAACACCAATAAAAATCAATGGACTTAATCAAACAAATAACTATCATAAACTAATCTAAGCAACAAACATTATCAAGCAAGGCTTGTGGATGAGGTGTAACTGTGTGTGTGTGTGTAGATGAGAGAGAGAGAGAGAGAAAACAAAATGGTGGAGAGAGACAATGCACCATGTGACTTCGTCACAGAGAAGTAAGGAGACTAGGAGGGGGGATGTAGACTGCACATACATGTATATCTTTCTGTGTCAGGATAAGATCTCTTTCAATTTTCAGCCAAATGTATTTTTTTTCTATTTTGAGAATCTGTATGGAATTGTGTAACTGTGACTTGTACCATATAATGAGTCCTCCTGAGTCTCTGCCTTGACTAACAGTCGGTCGTTTTTGGGAAGGAGCGATAACCTCTCTGTAGTTTGGGGGGCAGTGGGTGGGTACATTAGCTCTACACCATGTTTCTGATAGGATAATTATATCATTACTATTTACAAAATCAGAGGTTTTACTCTTCAGGCCAAAGAGTGAGGAGTAAAGACCTTGGATATTCCAACAGCTTATTTTAAATGAACTCATTGAGATTCTGAACCAAGGATGAATTGAAACATAAACAAACACAGAAATAATCTGAACCCAGGTTACCTGGATAAACTATTAAACTGAAATATATGATGTAAAATATAATATAAAATAAAATAAATGAATATGTATAAATATACTGTATGTATATTTAAATGATTACTTATTAAGTGAGGATTTGTTTCATTTTCTCTAAATGTTAAAAATAGTCATTTTAGTTTGATTATGAATATATACATAAGTGATTAAAAAAAAACAGATTAAACCAAACAATGTTACTAATATATTATTGTAAATGGTGGACCCCAGGAAGAGTAGCTGTTGCCTACTGTAATAGTTCATGGGGATCCTGATCAAATAAAAACATGGATGACTATCTTACTAGAAGTCCGCTGCACAGACAGTGTAGCATCTGCTTGATCTCTTCCAGCTCTGAGATGTGTGGGGGTGCAGAATAGTGTGGTGAGCCAGGAGGACGTTGTGGAGGGTGGAGCAGTTCCGGGTGATCTCCATGTTAATGTCATGTATAACATGAGGTGGAGTGTCTGTATGGGGCAGGAGGGTGGAGATCACAACCTGTGATTCTGGAAACAGCTTTGAGGCTCTCTCTGCTACCTTAGTGACTGCCTGGGTGGTGTCTTTGCACAGGGAGAGTAGGTCGTTTGTCCCTGTGTGGATAATGATGCTCTGGGGACAGCCAAGAGAGTCTCGTTTTAGCAGCTCTAACGCATGTTATGTGTTCCTGCAGCGTCTGGACACAACATGTTGGCCGGGAGAGAGGCGTCTGGGCTCAACATATTTCCGATTAGAGTCCATCAGTAGTACCATCTGTGGCTCTGGCTTGGCTGGTACTGTGAGTGAAGGTGTAGAGGAGGGGTCAGCCTGGGCAGCAGGGAGGGGGTCTGTGTCTGAGAGGATGGCTGTGGGGTCAGGGGCAGGGCTGGGGTTGAGATCTTGTGTCTGTGGGCTTGGGGTGGGGGGAGAGAGCTGTGTTTGTGAGTCTACAGTCGGGATGAGGGATGTTGGAGAGGAGTATAGGGGCTCTTGTCCTGTATCTGGCTCTTCATGTGCTCCAGCTGTCTTCTGAGGCTCCTCTCTCTGCTCTCTGTGTCCTCCATCTTGGCCATCTGGGCACGCAGACTGGTGTTCTCCTCTTGGAGGGTGTAGGTGGTCACTCTCAGGTCGTCAATGTTCTTTTGATGTTCCCTTTTCATCTCCTGGAGCTCTTCTCTCAGTTGTTGGATGTTATTGAGTTGTGGGAGTCTGGTCTGGATCTGCTCTCTGAACTCTGTGAAGTCCAGCTCCAGTGAAGAAAAGCTCCGTCAGGGTTGAGGGCTGAGTGCAGTGAGGGTCTTTGTTTGTTGGCGGATCTTTCTCTTCCTCTTGTTCTGACTCCTCTGTGTCTGCTGGGTCCATGGTCTCTGTCTCTGTTGTTTAACTGGATTTGGTTTTGTTCACTTCTGTTTTCAGCTTATGAAACATCTTCTTAAATATGATCAGATTATTGGGGGTTCCCTGGATCAGCATGGTACTTTTGGTTTTGTAGTAGGTGAGGGTCAGTATGGGGTTCTTTGTATCCAGCCCTTCATCCTGACAGATGGTCACTCTGCCACCATGGTCGATTCCCTCTTTGAAGGTGTGCTGGTTACAGACAGCATTTCTCCACAGCTCTGTGTGCTTGGTGTGGAATATGAGGTTGTTCATTATTGTCTTGCCATTGGGGGAGGTGTAATTTGCATACAGGCACTCTGGGTTGTCTTGTAGGGTCTTTTCCTTGTATTTCTTCTTGCCCTGTACACTTTTACACTGAGCAGGATATTCAATGTCTCTGCATTCCGTTGTCTCCATGGCAACCAATGTAATCAACTGTCAGCTCCTTGTTAGCTAGCTCTTTATTTTGGGTTTTAACTTCAGTTTGAAGTTATTTTCTTTAAGATAGGTTAAACAAAGTAATGTCCTTCTCTCTACAGACAGGGTCTCCAACTCTCTCTCTCTCTCTCTCTCTGAACAATTTCGTTCATGATCTAATTTAATCTTTCTGAACAATTCAAGAAACTACAATCTAAAAAAAAAAACTACAACTGTATGTTTTACTGGTAACGTTTACGTTTTTTTTACTGTCACACCACAGACTGTAAACCAAAGAAAGGACCAGAAATGTCTACTGTTTTCTTTCAGTGTCTTAACTATGAACATTTCTCAAGTTTTTTGTTTAGTTTGTTTCCTGGAGAGTTTTTCTTTTGAAAAACTGCTTATATGCGTCTTCAAAACGATAAATACTACGGTGATTTCTTTTGATTAAAGAGGACATATTATCCCCCCCTTCTCCACCTTTTAAAACAGTCCCCCTGTGGTCTAAATGAAACATCTGTGCTGTGCTTTGGTCAAAATATAACATGAATAAAGCACCAGAGGAGGTTTGTGACCCTGTATAATCCAGCGCTCTCAGAATGCTCCATTTTGGTGTGTGTGTCTCTTTAAATGCTATGAGCCCCGCCTGAGTTTTCCCTGTAGACATCACTCCTCTGTAGAGAGAATAAAAATGGCTGACCTGCGCTGAAGTTTTGCTCTAGGCTGGGATTGGAGTCCATGGGTGGAGATACCAGGGGAGGGGAGGGGATTTTTTTACCAGAATCCCACTAGGAGAGCACATTAGAAACAGAGCATTTTTCTCTGTGTTGTTAGACTGGTGCAGACCACAAACAAAGGACCGGATGGGTTTATTTCACATTTTTTGGGTCAGTAGACACTCAGGTTACACAAATATATGTTCAAACACACTGTAGAAGTTTTCATATAATAATATAATGCCCCCCGCTGTTTGAGACTCGAGGTTTGTGTTTATTTTGTTTCACATGTACATTGATGAGAAGTTACTTAATAAGCACATTTTGTAGAGAGTTGTGGTTGAGAATACAAACTCTTCAGGACCTTCTAGGGCTGAGAGTGAGGACAACATTAGCATGAAGTGTGGCTCCATCTTGTGACTGAAACACATCACTGCAGCTCTGTGCCCTACCACAAATAACCCTGAAACAAAAACATGCTGTTAATGCAGATATTATTTAAAACGTATGACTCTATGCAAACCTTTCATGTAAATACTGTTAAACTCCACCTCATGTACATTAACCCGTCTGTCACATCATTAAAAAATTTTTATTATCATGTTGATCTCCGTGTGTTTGCACTACTCACCACTGCACTATTGTCTCGTTTAGTTTAGTACATTTATACATCACTGCTAACTTGCTGCTGATGTGACAACAAAGAGCAGGGATCATCAGCGTATAAGGAGATCTCATCACATCTTCATCTACGTACTTTGTTCTTTCTAATAAGTCGTAGGTGTTTCATATGAAAAGACTGAGACACAGATGATCATGAGGATTTATTTAGACTCTAAACATTATAAATAAAGATGGATTATTGAAGGTCAGAGGTTTGTAACACCATCCATCAGAACACAATAGAAGTTTCAGTTAAATCCACATTAGATCCTTCTGTGGGGATGAATACATGTAACATATGAACCACATGAGCAACATTTCAATATCATGATATTCTAAACAAAGGTTCTGGAGGGAATTCAGACGGAAAGGGGTCCTTGTAGTCCTGGTGGGTCTCTTTTGTTAACCATCTTGAAGTAACGTTTGAAATGATTTGGAGCTTTACTCTTAAAAGTCGACTGGATGATTGTACGGCTGCACAGTGGTGAGGGGGTTAGCATTACTTCCTCACAGCAAGGAAGTTATCAGAGGGAAAGCTAGAACACTCTTCAAATTATCAATAAAAACAAGCATTTTGGCTCCAACACCTGTGATTGACGTCCAGTCCAGGGTGTAACCCTGACTCTCGCCCAGTTGGCTCCAACCAATCTGACCCAGAACCATCAAGTGGTACAGGTAATGGATGGATGGTTGATTGTTTCTCTGACAAATTCAGAGTCTACATTGTGGTGGAATTTCTGTAGTTATTTAGATTATAATGTACAGACGTCATTAGGTTTATTCACTGTTCTCTGATGTCAGTCAGACCTGACAGAGTTCAGCTGTTATTAGAACACCAAGTACAGCTTAGAGAGTGTCAACTGTTCTTCCTGATATCTGAAAGGATGTTTGGTAGACTTATTGTCTGCTCCAGTGTTATTGACGTCACAGTTTAGTCTAGGTGGGTCAATGTGACACGACCCTGATAATAATAATATCTTTTAGGATATATGCGATGCCTTTCGAAGAGTTCGGCAGATGTGATTGAGCAAGACACGAGTACAGAAGTGTGATGTCTCCTCGAGTATTCATCTGATGAATAAACTTTCATCAACGTAAGCCATCTGAGTCAACTGAGTTTTATTGTATGGAGTCAAGTCTTAGTAATTTCTTCAACATACATGACTGCAGAGATGTTTTCTCTCTCATCAGCAGATTTAAAGACACATTTTTTTAGAGACACAGAGAGCCAGTCCAGCTGATGCTGCCAGGAACAGTAACAGTCCCAGTCCAGGTCTTCCTAGACTCTCTGCTCCTGGTCTCACTGTTGGTCTCTGAGTTTGGTGCTCATGAGCAGCTGCTGTGAAGGACAATAAAAAAACAACATTAAACTCTGTACAAACAGAAAATATATGCATGAAGCTACAACATAAAACAGTGTAAATAATAATATGAACTATGGCATGTCAAAAGAAGAAGAAGAAAGGAGGAGGCAGGAACTAATATTCAAAGAGATTTGAAACAACACCCTCTGTAGGAGCCATAAATGTAAGTTGATTGTGTATTTGATGTCATGGGTTGTTTACTGATTTGTTTATTGTTTACGGTCTGCTTGTTACAGGTGGTGGGTATGTTCACCGGAAATCTTGTGGTGATGGCAGTGATTATATGGGCCGCACTCACCTGTTCACCTGGTTTTTGGCTTGGATGGAGAGAGGGGGTGAGCGTGGGAAGAGACAATTTCTGTTGACCGCCACACTATACTGCACTGCGATCGCAAATTTATTTGATGATCCAAAAACAGCGTTTGTAGTATCTTGTTTTGTTTTGGAAGAATAAATGACTAAAATATCTTGGATCTGGAAGTCATTTATAACGACAGCGCATCACAGCTTCACTCCCGTGTTTAGTCCCTTGCGGCAAACTTTTTTGACGACCTGCGAAAGGCCGATATAGCTGCAATACCCTCAACATTCAGTTAAATCTCAAACGTCTGAAAATGAAACCAAACGTAAACCTGAGGTTTCGTGGGAACTGTTTCAAACTATGAGAAAGTCCTTCAGTACTATAATGTCCAAAGTCTAGAGACCTGTTTCAACTTGTTTATTTATGGTTGTTTGGCTTTTATTTTGACAGGACAGTGGATAGAGTGTGAAACCAGGAGAGAAGCAAGGGATGGTATGTGAGAAAGGAGAACACAGGTCGGACGTGACACTCCTGAGATCTACTGAGTCAACTTACCGGTCACATTAAGACGGCTTCTACCAGCGACCATACCATCGTTTGTCATCACTTCACACTTGCATAGGCCTGAGTCTTCAGTCCTCAATTAGGACATGTGAAGTCTGAGTCGTCCTTCTTTGAGGACGTCTTTGTCACAGTGGACTCGTCCTGCAAACTGTTCATCCTGAGACTCTGAGACCTCGACTCCTCGGATCAGTTCAAACAGGACACAGACTTTGTGATCAGTGACCATCAAACAGTAGATATAAAGAGAGTGAAGTGAGGGGTCATCTTGGGGTGTGAAGGTCCACTCCAGCGTGACGTTCTGGTTCTCCTCTGCCTGATAGAACCGTCAGACTACAAATTCCAACTACTTAATTCTTCCTGAATAAAAAAAACATCAATGACTTAAACGAACCGAATTAACTTTAATTACTCAGGTTACTGCATGTTGTTTCATGTTACTGGGACAACAACATCGTGGCTGCGCTCTTCAGCTGTAAACCAAACACGGACACACACACACTCATTAGCTCCTCTGACGTCACAACAGGTGAAAATGGAGATCACAAACTACGACTTACGTCAACCCGCCTCCAACACTTCAGTCTCCTTGTTGCTCTTGTTGACCAAAATTCACGGAGGTCATTTTTTGGCATGTAGCAAATAACCGGGAAATCCCCACAGTTTACTTTCGGTTTCGACGCTCCGCCCCCTAACGTCTCTCTATCTCTCTCTCTCTCTCTCTCTCTCTCTCTCTGTCTCTCTCTCTCTCTCTCACACTAACCACAGACACAGAAGGTCAGTATGAGGAGCAGCAGGATCCTGCACATCATCTTCTTCCTGTGAGAGAACACAGAGCTTAAGAGACACAAACACGAGGTCAAAGTTCAGTCCTCTCAAGGTGAGCAGAGACCCCTACAGGCTGTCTGCAGTCATTACAACACTGCTTTTATTCATGACTCTGATTATTAGACAACTGAGTCATCACCTAGCCTTACTTTTGTTCACTTACAAAGTCTTAAGCCCTTTTCAGACTGCTTAACTACATTAAGCCATCATCACTTCTTCACTGATTCTGGGACGGCATCATATTGGTGTCCCAGTCTGGAATTCACATTGCATTTTGGCATTGTGGAAACCCGGCACTTTGGGAGCTCCACATACACACAGTCAGACATGCGCACACACACGGTGCTGTGCTCCCCCGCTGGCTTAGCTGAAAATATCTCACCTCTGTAACGCGTCTGTTACTACCTCTGAAGATGGTACAAAGAGGGGATCACTTCGTCCCCCAATTACGTCTCCACAACTTTCAGTTGAAGGAGCCATATCACAGGGGCGTAGATATCGCAGCTTGAAACAGCATTCTGAATAGAGCTTCTGACGGACAGCTGTCTCACTGTTTGTTTAGCATAGCATATGCTAGGTGACATCATTCAGACTGCTGCGATGGACACGGGCAAGAGAACTGGTTCAGATAAACTGATCCTACCCAACCTAAAAAGCCTCAATACTTTTCTATTAAGCTCCACAAACAAATCAGACTTGGTTAAAATTAGTACTAGACATCTGTCATTTCCTTTGTTACCAAAAAGTGTCATCAGCATAGAAATCAAATAAATCTATAAGGGTGGATCTCTCAGGGTGTTTTTGATTTGGGCAAGTTGGTGAATTAATCAATCACTTCTATCTGAACCAGTTCTCTTGCCTGCTTCCATCGCTGCAACACCTGTTGGTTTGACCTGATAACTGCTCTCATATCTGGAAAACCGAGGGGCGTCCAAAACGGCCGTGTGGGGGGTGCCTTAAAACCGCCTACCTTCTCTGGTCCAAACAAATCCAGAGCATTCAGGACCAGAATGTTAAGTTAGAAGGAGGACATACTGGCTGCTGAATTGTTGTCAGAAAAGCCAGCACTTCAACATAGCATGTTTCCTTAATGTCTGATCATATAGTAAGGTCACTTTATCATTTCAATCACTGCACATCTCACTGATTGGACCTTTAAACTGACTTAACATTGGCAGAACAAACCAGTCAAGAAGATGAGGCCGACCCTGCCCAGACAATCTTAACTTTGCAAAAAAAAAAGTATATTTCTGCAATATTAACAGAACGAGGAAGAGGAAATGACACTTCAGGCCAGCTCAACTGAAATACCACAAAGAAAAGAAACATCTTGAATAATAAAAAAGTGAACAGGGACAGGGAGAGGGTTAATGGGGCTTTAAAATAAAAAATAAAAAACTTCACTGGACATGAGAGTTTGTATATTTCTTTTCTAGTCTTCTGACAACTCAAACACCTGCAGGTCACACCTACACATTTACACACTGATGGTAGAGGCTGCTGATTGATTAGGGGACAGCCTGGGGATTTCAGAGTGGTAATGGGTGTGGATTTAATGTATAGCTTCATGTTGCAATATATCTCAGAAGTCTAAAATGCAAAAATTGTCCCACATTAGGCTAATTCACCCTAGTTGGAGTTTGTAACCCCAAGATTTAACACAATAATGAAACAAACCTCCGTGTCATACACTCACAGGCCTCTGGTGTGTGTGTGTGTGTGTGTCTGTGTGTGTGTGTGTGTGTGTGTGTGTGTGTGTGTATGCCTGTGTTTGTATGTGAACAATTTCGTTGATGATCTAATTTAATCTTTGTTACAAAAGAGCAGGTAAAAGACCTTATTTATTGCTATGTTACAAAGATCCAGCCTATCCATCATGAGCACTTTAGCAAAGCAGCAAAAGTTACAGTGGTAAGAAAAAACTGCCTGAAAAAAGGCAAAAATCTTCGGCCGGATCCCCGGCTCATGACGAAACAGTCTTCACAGGCCCCCCCCCAACCTCTGGATAGAAAAGGGCTCAAGCTATACCACCAGGATCCTGATGATTTAGTGGAACATGCCACCAATGGCGAGCAGCAGACAGCGCAGACTGTAACCGATGGTAAGTGTGTTTTAACCAGGTACTGTGATGTTTATAATATTTATAATGAAAGCATGCATCAGGTTGTTCAAATGGAACATTTGTATTCATGTTGCTTTCATGTCATTTCAAATGACATTTGCACATTTCTTTTTTTACAAAAGACAAGACTGAATGTATCTGAAAATGTCAAGTGGTGTAACCACAAAACAAAAATGAATATTTGATGTTATACATCTGGATATAAAAAACAAGACTTTGAGAGAGATATAATCTCACTCTAAGCAAAACTAAATCACTTTCAATTCAAATATTTGTTTAATCGTGTAAATAATCAGCTTTTATTTTTCTCATCATCAGTTCATTTTGTTTAACAGTCCCTCTTTTTATTTCTCACTGATCAGACTTTTGCTCTCACTGTCAACTTTCTCATTTGCGCTGTCGGACCTTTTGCTTGAAATTCTGCCACAAGTGGGCTTTTTGAGGAATGTGTCCCCATTGGAGTGACAGGAGACCAAAGTTCTCCGGTTCCCCCTTCCCCATTGCAGAGTCCAGAGAGGCCGACATCCAGCTGATACCTGACAGAAGGACAGAGAGAGAGAAAGCCGCAGCTCACTGCTGTTACACTCTTTATCAAAGTCTGAACTGGTGCTCAGGAGGTCAACTGTCCCCTCTCCAGCTACACACCAATTTCCAGATTTGGGACTTTTTTTTTCTGTCTTGCTTTATCTTAATTTACTCTGTCCATTTATTTATGATGTATGTTTATAAAAAAAAAGATGAACAAAATAAGTGATGAAGTTTGATGTGTAATGTAACAAATCTACAATAAAGTATTTTTGTTTTTAAGTTGAAGCAGTTCCTTCCACGGCCACTAGGTGTCTCCCAGCATTACAGTGAGGAAACTGCAGCAGCCTGTGGAGCTGTTAGTGACTTGAGTTACATCTGAGAAGAGTAAAAGTCAAAGTCAGTGTTTCTGTTAAAGTTTGAAGTCCAGATAGAGCGGAGAGTTAGATGTTTTCACAGAGACAGTTAAGAGGTAGAAGAGCCACTGTGTGCAGTTCATCCATTGGCCACTAGAGGAGTTTATACACAATATTTTCTTCAAGCCTACTCGTGCTGTACATGTATTTCCCAGTGGATCATCTGTCTGGGTCGGACAGTTTTTAAAGGAAGAATGTGAGACTTTTGGATCCAGTAGATGTCGTCCTTGAGCTCCATCATGAAACCAAAACAAACTGCTGTTTGGCCACACCTCCTCCATACTGAAGCCTCCACTCTCCATGCATAATTAAGCGCTAAGCACAAGCGGCGGACAAAAAGGGTCATTGGCTTGAGCTGCATCATTTTGTTAGCATGCTAAAGTTAGCACTCTTTAGCTAGCTCATAGCTTCATATTGTAAAAATTCTTACATGAGAGTACTTACTAACTCTTAAAGGGATACTTCACCCATTGAAACATGAATCTGTATTGACATTGAGTCATATATGTAGTAGAAATGTGAAATACATTTTGAAGTTGGTGCCTTCTTGGCCGAGAAAAGTCAGGAAGTGTCTTTTTGGCTCATGTTGATTGTCATGACCTGGCTCCATGGCCATGACAAATATGAGAAAGAATAACTTAAATTGAGGTAACCATGATTTATTTGAGCAATGCACCCACAACCATAGCACAAACAAACATGGAATGAATATCAATGTTAGGGGAGAGAGAGAGAGAGAGAGATTTTTTTTAGATTTTTTACAAAACACCTTATTTACATAAATTTAGTTTTTACAATTCAACAGTTCAACAAAGTGCAAATGCATTAAAATCTCAGTATGTTTTAAAAAAAAAGAGTGTATCTAATAAAAACTTGTGCAAAAACCAACCCTTCATCAACAACTGAACAGACTATGTCATTAAAACACCAGCGCTGTTTAAAAGCGTCCAAGTCTCCAATGTGTTTACAAAATCTAAAATCTAGCCAGAGTCTTGCTCTAATGTTTACCAGCCACACTGCTTTGGCCTCCTGCTCTTCTCTGTTCTCCACTCTGTTTTTCCTGCTAATGTAAATGGCCATTTTTGCCTCACCTGAAAGGTAGTTAAGGAGCTGCCACTTGTTCTTTTTTGTAGGCAGCTCCCATGATAAAAACCCTCTCAGTAAAAACCACATAAAAAAAAAAACTAAAAACCAATGTTAAAAGAGAGAAGAAGCTTGTGAGCCTCTTACACTCTATAAAAACATGGTAAGCAGTCTCTCGAAGGTCAGCAGTCCGTTTTTTGAGGAGAAGCTTAAATAAACTCCTCCACTGTGGGCCGGCTCCATTTGCTCCCAGCCTGTTTTCTGAGTGTGCTATAGCCAGCAGGGGGCCGGTGAGTTCCCCCACGCCTGGGCTCAGCAAGATGTCAGGGAAGGGGTCTGCAGGGTCCGGTCTGGCCTTTCTTTTCTCATAGTTCATGAGAAGGCTCCTCTCTTTCCCAGAAAGCTTCTGGCGCCACAGCTCCACCGTCAGGCCGGGGGTGACGCTGCTGCTGATGTACAACTTGGCCCTGTGAATCAATAGCTCTCTCAACAACCAATACAGAGAGTCAGACTTTGGGCACCTTTTACAGTTAAAAAAGGGCCCAAGACTTAAAAACACCCTGATAAAACGGAAGCAGCCCACTTCATTTTAAAAGTTTAGAATCAATTAAAAACAAAGCAGCATCCAGCCCCAGGAAATCTGCACGTCTGAGAATGCAGCTGGCCACATCTCTCCACACTAGATCAGCCGGACCTGTGAGATATTTTTGCAAGAACTGTAGTCGGAAGGTGGCTGTCCAGCTGGCCAGGTGGACGAGGCCCTGTTCCCCCTCCTCTCTGGTTAAAAATAGCACCCCTTGTTTCACCCAGTGTAAACCATCCCAAAAAAATGTATAGTGTTTGTTTGAGAG